TTACATTGACTAGTTATTTTTACCTTTATAATATATTACTATCATTATCTCTATTCAGCAGAAGGGGAGAACAGGCAGATTCATTTCCTGATAGCTGGCAAAACCCAGTGATGTCACTAAGTAAAAGGGGTTCATACGGAAAGGCAGAACTTGGCTCAGACTCTAAGTGAAGAACCCAAGGTCACAGCTGGAGAGAAGAATGGAGGGCTTCTGTGTCCTTGCTCTGCTCAGTGCAATATTCCTTCCTCCAGCTGGGTCAAATTTAAGGTTTGACTCTGCGTTTGGATTCACTTAGAGACAGGAAAGTGGATTTCCTCACTCTGATTAGAATCTGAGCGTCTCTCCATTTGTTCCTCATCTACTTTCAACCAAGACCATGCTGGCTATGATGGCAAAGAGAGAAAATCAGGAGCGCCTCTTCATAAAGAACCAGTTCTGTTCTTACAGCTGACCAGAAAAAGGGCAGGGGAAGCAACACCGAGCACAAATCCCTCCTCAGCTAACAGCGTCTTTCCAATTTATATTTTAATTTTAAATAAATGTCAAACTTGCTTATAATCTTAACTAAATAAATGAAATCACTTACAAGGAAGCAAACAGACTGTGTTAACAGCCAATCAAGGAGACTGCTTTTACTTAAAAACATCTCTGCAACGATTTAATTACTTAAATGCTGGACAATAAAGCACTGTAGGAAATTCCCCTGCTCATTTTCCTAGATACTGACTTACCTTTTCTCCAGAATGAAACTAAACAATGAGGTCATCAACATCATTTAAATATTTATTGGTGTGCAAGGACAACAAATATAAGGAATGTCTTTTTCCCCAGTAGATCTTTCCCTTATGTCTGAAATTTATATAGATATAGTTGTCTGTAACTTTAGACAAAGCCACCTCAGTAGTTCCTATCAGTTACTCATGTCTCTTCTCCTCTCTCACGAATATCAGCAAAGAAATGTTCTCATAAAATTGCATATATGAAAAACAGAACACTAGTAAATGCTAGGCCCAAAGATGGCCATCTAGATCATCGGTTCAGTGCTACACAGACTAGAAAACTTATCAGCCATTTCCACGAAATGTACATTAAGTTTTGAAACCCTCTTCGAAGGCATGTCTTTGAAGCATCTTTCTAAACATGATGCATTACCTAGTAAACATTTTACACCATGCTGTGTTAAATAGATCAGAGGATAACAGCTTAAAAATGAGCGGTATCTTTTCAGCAGCTTTCATACAAATTGCCTCTTTGCAGAATTTGGGGCATAACAGCCCTAATTTAACATCAGGAAAAAGACTCAAGATGCATTGCCAATAGACTCTGAACGGCCTGGAAGAAAGTGGATGTGGAGAAGTATGGCTATTTCTAGAAGGCAAGAACTGCTGAGGAGAAGGCTGCCACATCAGAGCTGCCTGAAGGCACATGAGAAGAGCTGGTGCTGGCTGAGGGGCAAGAGAAGTGGGGAGGAGAGGCAAAAACCTATCCCCAGCAACTGTTATAAAATTTCTTAAGATGATATTTTGGAGGGACCACCTGGAGAAATCTCAGGTGATAACAAGCAAAAGCACTAAACAGTGCCAAGCTAATTGCTAAAGAAAATATTCTGGAATTTTCTGAACAAAGAGGGCAGTGCTCACCAGAGGATTCAGGTGCCCAGGTGGAACCAAGGCTGCACAGAAAGGCCTCCTCACCCAGGCAGCCGAAATGCAGATAAAATGCAGCACTTTTTATCTGCTTGCAAAGATCAGAAAAAAACAAAATTTAAATATGAAAGAGCAAAACCAGGATTCCCCTCTTCTGCTGCTGACTCTGCTACATCCATTCATCTGGGAAACGTGAGTGCCTCAGTTTCCCCATTGATAACTTGGCAAAACCGCACATCCACACTTTGCAAAGATAGAGAGCTGGCCAGGTGAGTTACACACCTATACAACTCCCTGAGTCCCCGTTTTTCCCCCAGCTCCTAACAGGGTAAAACTGAGCAGAAATGACTCTGAAGGTCAGAGGTGCGCCGGGGCATTGTGAGATCACCGCGCTGCTCCTGCCGTCATCGCCTTCCGCACAGTGCTGCCGGGCATGGCCCTCTGCGCACGCTGACCCCGGCGGACGCAATTTATTCCTATTCTCGCAGTGTCTTCGCTTGTACTGGGCCACCTCCATCCCAGCCCTCAGGGGAGAGCCTGTAAGACTGTTCTGGCCAAGTCAAGTTTCATGTATTAAGCAAAGTGTCATAGTTTTTTCTTGACCTGCAGGACACGAAGATGTGAAAAGTGGAAATGGACACAAACTTCACATTCTAGAGTGCACTGTCCACGGTGGGAGACTCATCCTCCGGCCTTGAAATCTCTCTCTAATGGCACCACAGCATCAAGCCAAAAAGAAGAAAAAGAATGACCTTATGCTGGTGTTTTACTGGGAAAAGGACAAGAAGTCAGGAAAGAAATTGCTTTGTCTACCCTCTGGCTCATCTTCACGTTCTTCTGATGTGGACAGTCCCTCCACTTCATCTGCACTAGACCAGCCTACAACATTGGGCAGACCAAAGAGAAGAAAATGCCTCATCTGCAAGAAGTCAAAAAACAAGAGGAAGTACTTGAGGATGACAAGAGGCATGAACTTAAGGAGGAGGGTAAGAGCAACTCAGTGAGGAAGGCTTGGGCAGTGCATATGCAGCTAGGGTGTCTCTTTTTACCATAAAAAGATGGCTAGCAGCTGATGAGCTGTGATCCTCCAGGGCTAACAGAAGGTGAGAACTAAACCGTGACAGAAATGACGTGGAAGGGAGGGCATCCTCACTAGGCATAGACAAAGAGAAGAGCTTAGGTGAGGACTTAGGGAATAAGCAGCAGTTAAATCAGTATTCTGGATATTCCTTTTACCCCAGGAAGTGAGCCAGACGCCAGTCCTGTGATCAGGCTGCTCTTCTTCCACATATGTTTTGAAAGTTCCCTCCTCACTCCATCCTCTCTTACAGCTAGAGAGGAGACACAGGTTGCCCGTTGTCTGAATGAGCTCATCTAGTCCGTGCATTTTAATGAGGCTTCAGAGGTCCCAGCCCTACTTCTTTTCATCCTCAGAATCCCCCTTAAGAATTTTCTAACACTGTTCTGTCTCACGGAGCCTGGCTGTGGGGTGCACTTTAGGCAGTCACGCTCTCTGAACTGTGGTATGAATTGACCAAAGCTTTACCTGCACTTTTAGCACAGTGCCAAGCCCCAGCTCATTAGCCTTTGAAGGGGTGAGGGACACAGCTGTGAACCTGATGCTGTGCTGCGTGATCACCCAGGTTTGGATCAGAGCTGGGTCACATCCCCTGTATATACACACATGTGCATCTACAATGTCTCGTTAGCTCCCTTTATTAGGACGACTGACTGAACCAACCTCATTTAGACGAGGTAAGTCAATCACAGTCCTCACACGCTTGCAAACCGTCTGGCTTTCCAGAAAAGGAGGAGAAAGCAAGCTGCTGAATGTCCACTCAACACAGAAGAGCTGGGGCGAAAGACCTGGGCTTTCCTTCACACCATGGCGGCATATTACCCAGAGCAGCCCAGCAGCACCCAGCAGCAGGAGATGGCTCAGTTCTTTAACCTACTTAGCAAGTTCTACCCTTGCGTAACATGTGCAAACAATCTCAGGAACAGGTAAATAAATCCCTTCTCAATATACTTTTACCTAAACACAAGCATGTAGCAGTTTTTAAAAAAGCAAAATTTGAAATGGAGACATTTTGCTACAGGTGCAGAAGTCTAATTTAACTGATTTTTTTTTTAAATCACATTGTTGCTTAAATCACTACACTGGAGATAATATTTAGGCCCCCTTCAAGACAACCTGCAGGCAGGAAAGCTAGTCTGTGCCGCTGAGCTCTCTTAAGTGCGGCCTGCTGACCAGCTAGGTACCCAGCAGCACACCGAAAGCAGACAACTAGCAATGATATTTCCACTAGAAGGAGCTGGTCCGAAAGGATTTTGAGATATTCATGTGCCCTAAGGGTTTGAAGGCTTTTATAGCGAGAAAGCAATGGGGGGGGACCTGGAACAGCTCAACTTTATCCTACGTGAATAGCACACGTTATGAGCAAGGCTTGAAGAGGTGTAAAATAAGCAATTACTGATATCTTTGTAGTGGTGGCAAATAAATGATAAAGATAGATATAGATTGCAGAGGAGGTATGTCCCCCTTGATCTGAATTATCCTTTTTTCTGATCAAGGTGGAAGGCAGAACTCTAGAAGCTGGAATGTAGTCTCTGGATATTTTACAGAGCAAAGCAGGCTACGTTTTAGTCTTTCCTTGTCTGGACAGTGAATTCATTGATTCTGCATGGGCTCCATTTGTGTCTGGTTTTTTTCTGCCTCTACAGCTTAAACACGAAAAAGCCAGATACCAGCAGCCGGAAGAACCTATGCCAGTGGCTCTGTGCACTTCATAACGATGTGAATAAAATGTTGGGCAAACCTCCCTTTAACTGCTCCCAGGTGGACGAGCGCTGGCGAGAAGGCTGCAAAAGTGGTTCGTCCCACTAGCGCACGGACGTGCTACCAGAAAGAAAAGCAAACCTATTCTCTTCAAATGCAATGACATTCAAAACTGAGTCTGGTGCAGTATCATTAAAAATTATACAAAGAAGCAGATTTGCGCGCAGTGTTTAACACAGCTTGAGAGAATAATCAGGTCAAATCGTCTCACCAGCTATCCGGGAAAACTGTCTTTCCAAGTGAGCTCCGGGGGCAGATGAAATTGCTGCTGTGTGATTATATAGCTGCGACCGCAGCCTTCTCTCACGGCAATGATTTCACAAACGCACAGAAACAGACATTTTGGCCTCCTGCCAGCGCTCACCTTGCGGTGCCCACACCGGTACCACCGCCGGACTCGGCATTACCCAGCGGGAGCAGGAACGTAGGATGTGGTGTGTGTGAGAGGGATGTGGTGCTGGGAGAGGGGGATGCGGCGCACGTGTGGAGGACACGACGTGTGTGGAGGACACGGCATGTGGTGGACGTGGCGTGTGGAGGACACGGTGTGTGGAAGATGCAGCGCGCGTGGAGGACGCAGTGTAGGTGTGGAGGACACGGCACATGTGTGGAGGACGCGGCTTGTGGAGGACACGGCATGTGTGTGGAGGACGCGGCTTGTGGAGGACACGGCATGTGTGTGGAAGATTTGGTGCATGTGGAGGACATGGCGTGTGGAGGATGTGGCGCACGTGGAGGACGCGGTGTGGGTGTGGAGGACACGGCACACGTGGAGGACGCGGTGTGTGGAGGACAGCGTGTGTGTGGAGGATGCGGTGCATGTGAAAGACACGGTGTGTGGAGGACGCGGTGTGTGTGGAGGACGCAGCATGTGTGGAGGATGTGGCGTGTGTGGAGGATGTGGTGCATGTGGAGGACATGGTGTGTGGAGGACACGGCATGTGTGGAGGATGCGGTGCATGTGGAGGACATGGTGTGTGGAGGACGCGGCATGTGCAGAGGACTCGGTGTGTGTGTGAAGGCCGCGGCGTGTGGAGGACACGGCATGTGTGGAGGACACAGCATGTGTGTGGGGGATGCGGTGCATGTGGAGGACACGGCGACGGCGTGTGTGGAGGACACAGCATGTGTGTGGGGTATGCGGTGCATGTGGAGGACACAGCGTGTGGAGGACACGGCATGTGTGGAGGACGCAGCATGTGTGTGGGGGATGCGGTGCATGTGGAGGACACGGCGTGTGGAGGACACAGCATGTGTGGAGGACGCAGCATGCATGTGGACGTGGTGTGTGGAGGACACGGCATGTGTGGAGGATGCGGTGCATGTGGAGGACATGGTGTGTGGAGGACGCGGCATGTGCAGAGGACTCGGTGTGTGTGTGAAGGCCGCGGCGTGTGGAGGACACAGCATGTGTGGAGGACACAGCATGTGTGTGGGGGATCTGGTGCATGTGGAGGACACGGCGTGTGGAGGACACGGCATGTGTGGAGGACACGGCATGTGTGTGGGGGATGTGGTGCATGTGGAGGCCATGGCGTGTGGAGGACGTGGCGCGCGTGGAGGGCGCGGGGTGGGTGTGGGGG